AAAGCCAGATTTAATCTTGATAGTGAAGATAAGTTTAGTTTCGGAGAGGGCCATCAGTTGAGTATGTTGATTAGTTGCATGAAGGCTAGAAAGATGCTAAGAAAAGGGTGTTCTGGGTATATAGCCCATGTGGTGCAGAGTAGAGATGTCCCACAACTAGAATTGCAGAGTGTGCCAGTAGTCGGGGAATTTCTAGATGTATTTTCGAAAGACTTACCGGGTTTGCCTCCGGAAAGAGAAGTTGAGTTTAGTATTGAACCGGCACTAGGGACAGCACCGATTTCTAAAGTCCCTTACCGAATGGCCCCAGCCGAGCTTCAGGAATTGAAGAAGCAACTCCAAGAGCTCATAGATAAAGGTTTTATCCAACCAAGTCATTCTCCCTGGGAGCTCCAATTTTGTTTGTAAAGAAGAAAGACAGGTCAATACACAAAAATTTGGGCCCAACTATTTTTCATATGCTATGTATATTTTTATTGTATATGTTTTAAGGTATCTTAGTAAGAAGAAGTCATTACATTAAAGGATCATAGTGTTCTCTTCCTCACAAGCTACACCTTCTGCATAATTTGTATTTAAAGAAATCTCTACATTTGCGAGAACATGTACGGGGTCTTCCTTCTCAACATTTTCATTCTATCGCACATAACCAACCTCTTTTACAATGTCCTCCTCACCACCCAAATCACCGCCTACTCTTGATTTTTCAACTAAGAAATCAATGCCCTCATAGTTCAAATTTAAACCAACATTCTCTCCACCAACTTCCTCGTTATCCCCTTCCTTTGAACCAGCTTCCAACGGTTTATCTACAAAAGAAACCTTTCAAATCGGCCTCAAACCATTTTCACCCATATCAATTGTATATAACTTCACATCTTCTTCCGACTTTAATATAGCAGGAGGTACCTTATAATGTTCAAGAACTTTGCTTAAAACATACTTCACAACTATATCACTACGTGAGCAACTCAAATCACCTCTTCTAATTATTTCATCAATCAACTCATCAAAACTAACCATGTGCTCACAAAAATTGGTATAACTTCTTTGCTTTTCCCAATCCACTTCCAACAACTTTCTTCCTCCACCCACTCACCAAAATATTCAACACCCAAAACAACTTGTCACGTGTCTAATCATAGCCAAGTACATATAATGCAAGAAAAAAAAATATTATTAACTGATGCATTAAGGGTTAAAAGATTTTAAAAAACATATGGTGTATCACCTAAGCGATCTGGTATATCGCTTACTGGATCGCTTAAGCGATATAATGGATCACTTAAGCGATCTGGAATAAATAAGTCTAATCGCTTAAGCGATTTTCTGCCATTTACCTGATCGCTTAAGCGATCTGCTGCCATATATCAGACTTATAACAGATCGATTAAGTGATCTTTTACCATATAACTAATTGCTTAAGCGATTTGCGATTTGCTGCATTATACCAAACATACTAGACCGTTTAAGCGATACACCAGATTGCTTAAGCGATCCATCATATCCAAAACACATTTTCAGTCATCTCCACCTATAATCGGTGCTACCACCCCCAACTACCCACAATGCAAGAAAATATTCAACAAATTTCACTCCTTTCAACTTGCCTTACATCAAACACAACTCAACAACCTAAACAACTAAATCAAAGTCATAACCCAAACCAATCCACCATTAAATCTTTGTAAATCGAAATATAAAATGGAAAGGAGAGATACACATACCTGGACGAAATGTCAAGAGGAGGAGGAGGAGGATTTATGGCGGAGAAGATGTTAATGGTGGAGGAAGAAGATAGTGTTAATGGCGAGAAGAAGATATACAGAAATGAGGAAGAAGAAGATGTAGACGAAGAAGAAGATGTAGACGAAGCTTAGAATAAACAACAACCAGGGGAGGGATGCGTTAATGGCGGGAGGAAGAAGAAGAAGATGTTATATTTGGGTTTATTTGCAAGAATTTCAAGTTTTTGGGGACATATATAATTTTTAAAAGATTACACAATACTTCATTAATCCTAATTAAACCATGATTAGTGTTTAATTGTTATTAGTTTGTCTTAATAAAAAAAATAAGACAATTTACTAAAAACTGAAAAACTACATGACCTTTAATTTAAATTCAAGGCCAATATGGCCTATTAATCATTTGCCCCCAAATTAATGTGACACCATTCTTTTAGCGACGTGTCTTCATCTCTTCACCTCATAAGGTATCAGTTTGTAAAAAGAATTTATACATATAGTATTATTCAATTTAAAAATAAGATAGAAATATTATGGAAGCCTAAAGTAGAAGCTTATAAGAAGGTGACGTGAAAGTGACGGTAAAAGAGGTACAAATTCTCTCTCATTTCTATTCATTTCTCTCTATTTTCTTTCTATGTAAACAGTCAATTTCCATAAATTTCATTAAAACAAAAAAAGATCATTAAACATAAATAAATCTTTAGTTATAATATATACATGAGTGTTTCAGCCTTCAGAAAAAGCCAATTTTTATTTCTTCTATAGCTCTAAATTGTATGGGGGCGTCATAAAATTATTATGACCTCAAATTGTGAAATCCGTAAATTTGATTATCTCCTATTATATCAGGAAACCGTTAAAAATCTTTTAATATATGAAACTTTTTGGTAACATTATCAAAAATACATTATAAATATAAAACAATAATACTAGACTCACAAACACCTCTTATTAACCCTATGTGAGAGGATTATTTTAAATTGTTTTTAACATATAATTAGGATAAAATTTTCTTTTTATGTAGGTTTTTTTTTCATTTATTTTTTTATTTTTTTAATGTTAAGAGGTAAGTGATGCGGATAGTTTGATATTTAATTGAATAAGTTGGTTATAAAGGTATAAGATGCGGAAAGTTGATTAATTGGTAACAACCCCAAATTTTGACTAATTTAATAATGCACTAAAAAAATAATTATTTTTGCGTATCATTTTGACCCAATCAATTCGAGTTTTCATCATCTCTAATTTGTTCTTATCAATAGTGTTTAGTAAAACATTGAGTCCGAACTCGATTTTAAACTTGGATTTTTGTATTTTGGATCAACTGTGTTAGACTTGGGTTTAATTCAAATAAATTATCATCAAAATATTTATGTTTTTTTTTTTTTTTTTTTTGCATTTTATATTATTATAAGCATTATTTATATGTAGATGTGAAAAATACATCTAATTGTAAAGACTTTTTTGCCCCTCTTAAATTTAGTTATTCATTTAATTGCAGTCGGTTTTCACGTACCCAAATCTAGTTGACACTCTTAAAACTGAAATACCTAGTCATTTATCCATTCCCACCAATATAATATATATATATATATATATATAATATATATATATATATATATATATATATATATATAAATCCAAATTAATAAAAGTTTGTTATTTGTAAACGAAGCAAAAACAAAATCTGAAAAAATATTCTTAATAATTATTTTATGGGGGATTTGAAGGAGTAGGAAATGAGTTTGAAGAATAACGAATAGGTTTTGATTTCATTTTGGATTTGGTTGTCAATTTTGGTTCATTTTCCTATTTGTTGTGTATTTTATAAAGTTTATAAGGGTAAAACTGGCATCTTTCTAGTCAAAGTTGGTAAAATTAACTTTAGATGGATGATGACTAACATTGGGATTGGAATAATACTACACATACATTATTCTCATACAACATTTCTCATACAACATTAGGTGGCAAGATATGATTGGGTAAAAGTTTAATTTTAAATTTAAATTAGCCAATCATATCTTGCTACATAATGTTGTATGAGAAATCTTGAGGTTGACGGTGTCAGTTTCCGAAACCAAGGGGGAGTCTAATTTTTTCGCTCCAACTTTGACATTGGGAATACAAGTGTCATTCATCCTATACTATTTAAAAAATGTCTCACCTCCTAGTTTCGGAAACTAACAATTACCCCTGTAACTTTTATATTTGACACTCTAACTTTGCAAAATTGAAATGGGGGAATGATTGGAGGTTGATTTGGAGTTTGTTTTAGAAGGAGAATGATTGGTTTGGAAGTGTTTGTGGTTTGTTGATTGACTGCGGTTTTTTTTTTTTGGCCATTTCACCCCGTCGCCGGCCTCCATCAACCTTACCATTGCGCACGCCCACCAAATGTTTGACAAGTTGCCCTAACGACACTTAACCTTCACCCACACACGGGGATAGTTGGTGGAGGTAGTGTTGTTGAAGAGGAGGAGATGGGGATGCTGATGGTGGTGTTAGGGGTAAATTTCGGTGTCAAAATCTACCGAAATTCGGCCTGAAAACTTAAAAGTCGCATGGACTAGCAAGGAACAGGGGCCAGTAATTGGCAGACGCACTCAGGTGGCAAAATCGGGGGCTTTGGTGAGGAGGATGAGGGGATGCTGATGGTGGTGTCGAGGAGGTCTAATGGGGCCAAAATTGGGTCGGATTTTTGCCTTGGCTGAGATCTTCTGTGGAGGTTATTTGAGATGTAAAGATTATTTTGAGAGAAAACTAACGGTATTAATTTAAGTATGAGAATCTGGAATTTATGAAACCAGAGGTGAAAACTTGTCATTTCACCAAACTTTGGGTGGGAACGCGTAGTTTACTCTTTAGTTTTATAAAGAGTTTTAGGATAAAATAGCATCATTTCATCCAAGGGATGAGAGATTTAATTACATTTATCTCTAAAATTTTCCTTATCAATAGTTATTTTGGATTGACTTGCGTTTACATTTAAATTAATTATTATTGAAATATGTATTTTATTTTAGATTTTAATTATTAATTTTTTTTGACCCCTCTTAATTTTAGTTATTTCATCTAACTATCACCCATCCCAGTTGACACTCCTAAGTCCTAAACCAAGCTACGATTCGTTCCCAAAAAAAAAATATAAATAAATTAAATAAATTCAAATTAATTTCGGCCAAATCAAAATCTAAACAAAACAACACTTGCCATTTGGTTTCTGAACAGATCTCTCTTTCAATCATTCCCTTAAAAGCTTCAGCTTAAACCCTAGATAATTGAAATTGCGACTAAATGTACGCTATCAATCTCTAACAACATCAAATCTTCACCCACAAATTTTGTCTCTGCTCGGTTTTCGGTGCAATGGTGGTCTGCAAATGCCGAAAGGTATTTTCTGTCTCTCTCTCTTATCGCTGATCATTTTATCCAATTCGCTGAAATTGTGAATGAACTTGTGTTTGATTTCTTTTTTTTTTTTTTTTCATGCGAGAATGATTTAATTCGCGTCGAAATTTAGTGTTTATTGATTGAGGTTTTAGATCTGATTTGATTCACTATTTTGTTGTTTCTGATCCAGTCGGATCGTTTATAGTTCAAATCGCGGCCGTTATTTTGTTCTAGATCGATTCATTATAAAGAAAAAGAGAGCGGACTTCATTTTGTTGGTTTACTAACTGTTAGTCTTTGTTATGTGTTGGAGAATTATTTATGTAATTTTTGGTGTTTCAGGCTACCAAGTTATATTGTTTCGTGCACAAGGTTCCCGTTTGTGGAGAATGCATTTGCTTTCCTGAGCACCAAATATGTGTAGTAAGTACAGTGAATTCTACGTTTGTTTGTTTCTATAATTCTTGAGAATTTTGGACACTGGGTAATTGGCATTTGATATGCTGGATCTTGTTGTGTTGTGGAGTTCTTGAAGGTTATGATTATGTATCTGTACTATGCCATTATGGGTTTGTATGGATTTTGAGATTTGATTATTTTGTAGAGCTGATTTTGGTATCGGGAATATTGAGTATAGTGTAATGTAATGCGCAGGGTTGAGTTTGTAACTGTTAGAAGTATGAACAGATTAAGAGTAAGCAATGGCAGTTATTTGGATTTATATGAAGAATGTAATCACACAGATGCATGGGATTCCAATGTTGGATAAGGATTAGGTCTCTGATACAAACAATGTTTTTGTTTTCAGACATTTAGTAGCCTTAAATCAATGTTAAACAAATTTGGCTGATAATAGTTAAGATCCCATAAACTTCCTAAGTTGAGCTACAGAGTCTTCAGGCCATTTTAGATGATCGATATCCTACCCTCCCTTTTTTAAGTATTTGACAACGCATTTTTCTTTTCTATAAGTATAGACTCTTTTTTCCTCCCATTATGAAGATTTTGAAGGTATACTTGTCACAGTTGTCCTTAGTCGACCTCAGTTACTGCATTCTAGATCTTTTAACCTTGTAACTTGCATTCTTTATCTTTTAACCTTTGGCAGGGATTGTCTGGAATAGTAAATTATTACTTCCTTTAGGATGTATGTCTGAATGGATACGCTGATTATAGATTTCTTGGAAATCTTGTATGCAATCTCTGTTATTTGCATTGGCTACATTTGTTAGGATTCAATCTCAAAAATTTTTATTGGCATGTAGGACATGAAGGTTTTTCCATGCTTTCTGCTGTATTTATTTATTTTTTTCCATATTTGTAGATTCGTACTTACTCAGAATGGGTAATAGATGGAGAGTATGATTGGCCTCAAAAGTGTTGCCAGTGCCAAGCTGTGCTTGAAGAGGGGACCGGCTCTCAAACCACCCGATTGGGTTGCTTGCGTATGTATTTTTTCAGATATTGTTAATTCCTGTTGCAATTATTATTTTTATTATTAATTTTTATTTTATTTTATTGAGATTTCATGATGAACTCATCTGTTGAGCTTAAGTCAACTATTTTTGCTCATTTTAGATGTTATACACACAAGTTGTTTGGCTTCACATATCAAAAGCTTTCCTTTGCACACCGCACCAGCTGGATATGTGTGTCCATCATGTTCTACTTCGGTAAGTCTTATATTACTTGCACTATCATCTTGTTATATCCTTTTTTCTTTTCTTCATTGCTCTGTTTGTCAGTTGTTCATATAGAGCAGTATTTCAGGTGATAGGATTCAGTTTTTGTATTCTCTTACTAGTAAACCATGCAATTATGGCCTCTGGTCATTTTTGCTTGACGTATTTGCATATTCTCTTTTTCTTTTGGCTGAGCATATTTTCTGCAATTGTTCATATCCACATGGTGTTCTCATTTTTGCAGATATGGCCTCCTAAGAGTGTTAAAGATTCGGGATCCCGCCTTCATTCACTGCTGAAGGAAGCAATTATGCAGGTGAGATTCATGTTTCCTCTAAGATTGTTGTAAATAAATGTTCATTCCCAGGAGAACCTGACTATTGTTATCTAGTACTTCGATTATCTGATTGTTGTTCCATCGAAGCTGAAGATTATTTTTGTGAGTATAATTATGACATGCTCATTCTTAATTTTCAACAGTTGATATAGATGTTTTACCTTTTGCAGTCATCCTTAAGTTCTGTGCTTTCACCATAGGTTTATATAGTTTGTTATATTTGATGGTTGGATGGGTTACATTTCAGACTTATGTTTACTAATATGGGGTAAAAGGCATGGATCTTTGTAACGGAAATGTGCATTGGATCTAATATCTGGGGACTGTTTTTGATTTGCTATTTTGTTGATTGTGATCTAGAAGGGTCTTCAGTTCATTGAGAACTTAGATAATTCTTGCCTAACATTTTGCAGACTGGGTTGGAAAAGAATATGTTTGGGAATCATCCAGCTTCTTTGACAGTGACAGAGTTCCGCAGTCCTCCCCCTGCATTTGCATCTGATCCAATAATTTCTTCTTCTGGAAGCAGAGAGTATAATGCAAGCTCATCAACCTCTGTGGCAAAAGATGGAATAAATGTAACTGAAGGATACGTGGCACCAACTTCTGTGTCAGAAATTATGGAGATAGAGAGTCCTAGCTCAACAGGGAATTTTATCAAAAGTTCTAGTCCTCCTGGTGTAAGGATTTTGTAGTTAATTATTGAATCTAAAATATGATGTTTGTGTCATTTTTTATATGCTTTTATGCAAGTGTCCATTTGGCTGTGTGTTTGCTTAATTTGTTTTCTAAATTTTTCTTTTGATATTGATATGTGACACAGCCAGGGGCTACAACACGAAAGGTTACTGCCCATTTTGAGCGACAGAACTCTGAAATTTCATATTTTGCAGATGATGAAGATGGGAATATTAAGAAGTATTCACGGAGGGGTGAGTAAAACATTTAGTATATTTATATGATGAACGAGTTGTTCAGCTCGGGAATTGAACTGTTCAGGTTCTTTTTAATATAAATATCTGATGTTCCCTAGTTTCTTCCAGTTGAGTGTTACTAACATGTAGCATTGCCAAACCTGTGGAATACTGGTCTTGTTTTCTAGACCAATACGTGCTTTTGTTCAATGCATGCTCTGTCAATTCGGCTAGCTTCTGTCCTTGAATTTGATTTTAGATTTATAAGTAAAGCTGATTATGGCGAACCATTGTAGGCCCCCTCCGTCATAAGTTTCTCAGAGCATTGCTGCCTTTCTGGTCAAGTGCATTACCAACTTTACCAGTGACTGCTCCTCCACGTAAAGATGCATCAAATGCAGATGATGTCCCAGAAGGTCGTTCGCGGCATCAAAGAGCCTCAAGGACTGATCCAAGGAAAATCCTGCTCTTAATAGCAATCATGTAATGTCTACCTTTCATAATCTGTGTTTTTTATGTGTGCTTGTGAGCGTTACATTTTCTTGCATATCTGCTGAAGCTTGTGTGTTTTGACATCTATATGTTCTTTGTCCCGGATCTGTTAGAACAACAAAAAGGGAGTGGAAAAACAACAGAAAGAAAGAAAAGAGAGAGGGGGGGTGGTTGGAAAGTCTTTAGATTAAGTTCACCTTTGCTAACTTAAGTATATATTTGTTTATATAACTGCACCTGTCCGGCTAAATACACAAATATTGTAGACATATACGGTTATCTATTGACCCATAAAACAAATAGGGATGTTTCATTGGAGAAATATATGAAACAATCATTATTTTTCCTTAATCCAGTCTCTGTTATCTTGTACAGGGCATGCATGGCTACAATGGGGATTCTATATTACAGACTTGCGCAACGGGCTCTAGGGGAAGGGCTGCCCGATGATGAGCAGCAGTGATTATAATTTAAGGTTGCAGTGGAATATACATAGACCACCTGCTGGTTATTGATGGTGCTGCTGCTTTCATTTATTCAGCTCCTTATGTTTAACCTGTGGCTGGTTTTAGCTGAAACACAAATGATTTTTTTTCTTTTTCCTTTTCTGAATGCAGATGACAGTGAACGTTAAATAGCCTTTCCCGGCTTCTGATTGTCCCTTTGTTATCTGTTTTGGAGTGGAATCGTTGAATCAGGTTTAAGGCAAAATGTTTTGTTCAAAATGGATTTGTTTTGTAATTATCTCTATTCAGTTAATAAACTTGCAAAAATGGAAAGTTGCTTAGAATATTACTGGTTTCTTGGATTTCCTGATTGACAAGACATACTTAAATAATAGTTATTCAAAAAAATAATAGTTTGCTTTCAATAAACTTCGTCTCCTGTTGATTTTGTGTAACCTTCAATAATAAGATTCTTAATTTTCATTTATGTAATATCGTAATTTAAAG